GTTAGACAGTTTGTGGGAATTTTTTGTAGATCTTTTTTGTAGATCCTAGATCCCAAGATGGAGGTTTACCTCACTTGAGGATCATCGCAGCGTAGTCAGTGTCGCTACATGTATCACTACAAACTGTCCTGAAATGAATGGCGGCAGCTTCTTGCTCCTTAATGCTAAACCACCCAATATGTTACGTGGAAGAAAACATTACAAATGCCACTCAATATCGTTGCGTGGAAAACATCATAATGCGCTCAAGCGATCTGGCTCGATGCTTTTCTTTATGAATGGTAGTCTTATATGAATTTTGAGTGGTGCTCTGAGTGGAACATCAGGTGTGCTTTCTTTATGATATACTGTTTCAGAGCACCTCGCAGAAATGATTCTTTTGAATCTGGATGCCCATACTTTAGCGGCTTGTGAAGCAGTTAGCACAAAGTGGCGGGCTGTGCTGGCTAAAGGCCAGCTTTGGAGGAAAGTCATAGAACGCAATGTGCGTACGGATAATATGTGGCGCGGGTTGAGTGAAAAGAAGAAGTGGTGATTACTTTGTAACATGTTTTCATTATATATTACTGCAATAATAAGTCTGTTTAGGCGAAAGTTCATCTTGGTAAGTAGAGATTGCGCTGCGCACGAAATTTGTGATAATTATCGAGTACCCTACGAAATGATGCGAGGTTCTGCTGAGATGGTCACGCTGCAGCATAGATTTTACAGGTAGATACCTTTCAGTGCGATTTTCATCACATTTCGTACGCCTTCTCCCAGCTATTGAGGAAGTTTAGAGAACTGTTCCCAAAAGTTGTTAGCGACATTGCAAAAATCGAATCTAATTGGCGCAACGGTGTTTACAAACTAAGCAGTATCAACTGCCGATCGGAAAATAGTAAAGGTATGTGTTCTAAAATTTCATTCTCCCAACCATATTCTGTTATTTAAGGTGTGTATTGCTTACAATACGATGACGAAAAGATTGTTTCTGGTTTACGGGATAATACTATAAAGGTAGTGTCTCGTTATGCCTCTTGGTTTCATACATATTGTGTTTTTTGAATTCCGCATCACCTGCACAGTTTTCAGGCGACTCTGTTACTTTGATTATTCCAAGCATACCTCGTCATTCAGTTATGATGAGCGTTATTGAGATTTTTTT